AAAAAAAAATTATACTGACCACACTTTTGAACAGTAGTGTAATTGCTTATTGAACACTGGTGTTTTTTTTTATCTCAATGCAACAGCAGCAGGTTGAACACTACATGTCAGATATGAAAGATCAAAAAAAAATCAGTGTGCTTTTTTGAGGACAACAACACATCTATTGGAAGAGCTGTTTTTTATGTTCTTTTCAGGCTTGACAGCTCTTTGCTTGCGGTTACAAATCATTTTGCGCCGCCTCGCATGGCCTCTGCCTGTGGCCTGACACTGATGAAATGGGTTATTGGGCATTTGCCACGCCGCACCATTTGTACACATGGCCCGGGGCAGGATATGATCAGAGGCCCTCCGTCAGATGCCCTCCAATAGACCTGGACTGTTTTATTACTCCCGAGATGCCGGCTGTCGGGAGGAGATAATCTTAGCAGGAGAGGGCCGCTTTCCAAACCCTGGAAACAGCTTGACTTTGAATGCCTGGCTGCTCGTCATATTAAATGCATCCGGGACCGATGTGAGTTAACGTGTAAGATGGAGAGGCTGAACAGCCATGTGAAAAGTAGGGAGGACACTATTGTAACAGAACTTAGCAGCTTGACTCATGAATATTTATTGGGTAGTCATAATTAATATTCAACAGCAGAACTCCTGATTTGCTTAAAGGCAAACAATGGTAAATAGGCACTAGATGTAGTGGGACTGTAAAAATGTATTAAAATACTTTGAAATATTTTGTATAGCCTATGTGACTAACTACAATTATGCCCTTAGTAAAGTCTAAAAATATAATTATTTCCTAAAAAGTGTCCCCCATATAAATGTTGCTACACCTCCTAGGTGTTTCAGTTTAGTTTAAGTTCATTTTGATGATGAATAAACCAGTCTGTTCAAGATTTTGCGATCTTGCGACTGCAATGCAAATTCAGCCAGTTACTTTTACATTAATGCATTTAGCAAATGCTTTAATCCAAAGCAACTTACAAAAGAGGAATAAAGCAATTAAGAGTAAGTGATATTCGTAATACAAAATGGATTTATGAGACAAAGTTGAGAAAAGTTGCAGCAAATTCAGTCAATTTGGGCTACAAAAGTCCCGCAAAGATGAGCATCAAATGGTGCAAAAAGCGTATTTAAAGAGCAGGTCATATGGGTTTTTGAAAAATATCTCTTTTGCAGTTTATAACGTAGCTATCCATAATTGAAAACAGTCTGCAAAGTTGTTAATCCAAAAAGTGCATGATAAAGATATTCTCTCTCAAAAGAGAGAGTCGATTCTGAATCGCCTTAACGAGTCGTCATATTTTCCAATCTTTTGCCTGTATACGTCACTGGGTAACACATTCGCATAATCCCCACCTGCCCGCGAAATATGAACAGAGTCTGACCTGCCCACAAACACTTCAGCTAGTTAGTGTGTTTACATCACGTTGAGAAGACGCTTTGTTCAAGGATAACACAGAAATACAATTCGAACCTTTTGCTGTGTGCATGTCATTTTACCAAGGACTGCTTCTTCGTTGGCTTCTAATCTTCTTTATTTGGACTAACAAGCTCTCCGAACCACAACCTTTGATACGATTGATACGTTATGTGCACATTTTCAATTGAGTGCTCAAAATATCATGTTTTTGTCCTAATATGTGATGTATACCTAGTGCTGCTTTAGGTTTCCAGGTAAAGCACGATATTACTGTCTTACTGAAGTAGTTCTGGTAATTCGCTGTGATTTGCCTGTTACCAGTATACGTCACTGGTTAACACATTTGCATAACCCCCGCCTGCCAGTGAAATACGAACAGAGTCTGACCTGCCCACAAACACTTCCACTAGTTAGTGTGTTTACATAATGTCGAGAAGACGCTGTGTTGAAGGATACCACAGAAATACAATTCGAACCTTTTGCTGTGTGCATGTCATTTTACCAAGGACTGCTTCTTCGTTGGCTTCTAATCTTCTTTATTTGGACTAACAAGCTCTCCGAACCACAACCTTTGATACGATTGATACGTTATGTGCACATTTTCAATTGAGTGCTCAAAATATCATGTTTTTGTCCTAATATGTGATGTATACCTAGTGCTGCTTTAGGTTTCCAGGTAAAGCACGATATTACTGTCTTACTGAAGTAGTTCTGGTAATTCGCTGTGAACCCACTATTTCCTAGGAATAAATCGATTAATGTAGACTGACGTTGTTCTAATAATTACTTCGTTTAATAATAAAGAATGTAGTGTAGCACACAGACTTTATAATCATTGTGAAATTGCTGTTTATTTTGCTGCGTCGGCAGGTATAGGGTCAATGCGGGAGAGACGAGTGAGTTAGTTAGGCTGCTGCGCCTGTGATACAGCTGTTCTGCATTCTGATTAAAAGTTAAAACAGAGCGTCTTTTGTCTGTCGTTCTTCAAACTTTACAGTAGACATATTTTGGTTTACAAACTGTATTGTTTCATCAGTTAGTCATGTTAGCACTCGGCTAACGTATCCACCATTATTGTTTTAAGTGTTTACAGTTTAGCAGCTAAACTTTAGCTGTGGGCACGATTTGCTTGCATAAGTGTTTTTGTATTTTATGCCATTATTTTAAGAACGGATTGGAGCACTATATTATTGTTTTATGTAAAGGTGCTTTTCAATGGTAGCGCTCGCTAACTTGCTCAAGGACTCCTCTCTGTGCCAATCACAGCAGGCTTGGCCAGCTGACCAATCAGAGCAAAGTAGGCTTATGGAAGGGAGGGGTTTGCTCCAAACTTGC